ATTTGTCAATTTTGACGTGGAGTGGAAATGATCTTTACGATTGTGTGATGGGAACCAGAATTGAATTACAATAACATATAAAGAGGATCGACTATTTGTGGCATTTTACAACATAACTTTTTCTATAATACTGCCTAATTATATATTTTCCATATCTACACTCCCAATAAACAGTTTATACTACTTATTGTAACGATAAATAATTTATAATAATATTAAATAATAATAATTTATAATTATTATATAAAGGTTATAGAGTTATAGAGTTGTCAAATTATATAAGATTTTAACAAGGTTTCCATTCCCAATTTCCATTACATAATTTTCTTACTGAGCCTTCAAAAAGTTCAATGATATTGTAGCGAGTACCGCTCGAGCGATCTAGAGCGCTGGAATATTCGGGAAGGCACGCAGGCACTGAATATATAAGGAACAGCGCAGCATGGAGCACTTAGTCAAGCTTTGGTACTCGCGACGAAATAAATAAATATACCTGCAAATAAATAGACTCTTGTGCAGTAATGATATATAAATTATTAGTAGTTAAGTGTTTAGTTGGTTTTAAGTGTAATTAAGTTATAAAATAAATAGTTTAGTTCACTAATAAACCAGTGCGTGTTAATTCACACTTCGAACAGTAAAAACGTTACAATATAAAAATGTTATTTTAAATATGATAGCAACGATAATAAGCCAGTTGTATAAATTTATATTCTGGCAATTGAGTGGAAGCAATACGAAATGTAAGCAGAAAGTTAAGCCGATCCAACATATATTGTGATGATTGTAAATTAGGGCTTTATATTAATCCAAATGAATAAACGGGTTTGTCCAGTTTTGCGATATACATACACATATAATTTGGTATATTTACTTAAATTCAATTATAGGTCTGATTTATGACTGCTGACATTGTATAATTGGTCGATGATTGTTCGAACAAATCACAATCGTAATGAAATCTCGATCCGGCAGAATAATTATCATTATTTTTAATATTAGAAAAATATTATTCATCTATAATTGTTAAAACTTGCTTTATTGATCAATTACCCGACAAAGGAGCTTAAGTATTGTTTAAAAATAAAATTAATCGCCGTCATAAACAGAATTAAAGCTAATGATTGGTTGGTGCACCGTGAGTGGGCACAATACAACTAATATTTCAAGGGTAATAATGCGTATAGAATCAAAGCTTCGTAAACCACTTTAAATAGATATATCAATCGGCTTTGAATGCTTCCAATCAAGAACCGACATATTTTGCGTTCCCAAACGTAAATGAATGATAATTATGGTATTGTTGGGTGATATTCACTGGTAATTAAACCTTTGTGCATCATATACTTTGCTATGAGAGGATGTCTACAAACTACAGAGGTATAGGGCACTTCATTTTAGTGAGAGCCTTTTTTATTTTTAATAATGATGCCAACATCCAATAAATTTTAAAAAGAGATAAAGCATATGAACAGTTCTAAATTTTCATTTCTGGATTGCTGCTTTGTACATTCATAACCTATAATTGGGATTGCTGCCCACGTTTCGGTGTTTACAAATACAATTTTCGTTGATTTATTAGAATGCCAAATTATGGAATTTAAAATGATTTATCTATAGCCAATCTTGTATCTAATTTGACCCAACAATAAATATATTTTGCTTGCATTTTGATTGACTCAATGTTTTAAGGTTATATATAACCTTAAAACATTGAGTCAATCACACAGAAAAAAATATTTAGTTAGCCCAACTATTATTTGTTTCATTATTGTTTCAATAGAGCCAACCACATTTAAGGTCTCTTTAGTATCGAACAACTTGTAGTGTCACACCGAAGCAAAACTACCTGAGCTTATATACTCTTCATCTAAGTCAACAGAGGCGAGATTTAAGAACATCGCGTGATCCACACCGCCTTTGCCGCGATCAGTACATACTATGCAACCATGAATGCACGGCAAATTGTTTTAATCGTTCTAACAGAGTGCTTAAGGTTGAAGTAACTCTTATTTTACTAAAAACATATTTAGTAAACTGAACCATACAGCGGGTTGTTTTCACTAAAGTTTTCTGGGTTAATTTAACCAATTTAAAGAAATAAAATAACTATCTGGTTTAGTACCGCCAAACTAATCTTTGTATATACACTGTTTAAAATATCTGTGGTGTAAAGAGTAATCTTAAAATGGTGTCAAAATCCAACACCAAGTGGTGTTAAATAAACACCATGAATTATGGTTGAAAATTTTATATACAGCAAACACCAAAACGGTGTTTATCTAAAAATATTTGAGAAGTGCACCTACACAGAAAAAAAGGAATAGTTCATTAACTACTTATATTAATTTAGTTAACCCATAAGTATTTATTTAAATCAACTGTGGGAAGGTTAATATAAACAAAGATTAGTTTGACGGTACTAAACCAGATAGTTTTTTTTTAATTGGTTAAATTAACCCATAAAACTTTAGTGAAACCAATGTATGGTTCAGTTTACTAAATTTGTTGTTTGTAAAATAAGAGTTACTTCAACCTAAAGCACTCTGTTAAAACGATTAAAACAATTCGCCGTGCATTCCTGGTTGCACCGTGTACCGATCGCGGCAAAGGCGGTGTGGATCACGTGATGTTCTTAAATCTCGCCTCTGTTGACTTACATGAAGAGTATATAAGCTCAGGTAGTCCTTTGCTTTGGTGTGACACTACAAATTGTTCGATCCTAAAGAGACCTTTAATCGGTGGAAACAGCTGTCAATACTTGAAGTATTTTAAGTTGGTGGAACGCACTAAAAACATTATCTCTAGCGAGTTGAAGGTTCAATTTTCTGGAATAATGCCAATGGTAATATACTTGTAATGCGTCAAGGAACTTCTTGTTTCCTTTTTTTCTCTGTAGTATGATTTAATTTGACCAAAAAACACATAATATTTAACACTGAAAAGAAGTTCAATTTACACCAGGTAAAATTTATTTAAACACTGTGTGAAAGTTAAATTTACACTATTTTAGTATTTGAATTTACACTGGACCAATGAACCATATTTAACACCATTTTGGTTTATATCGATATAGACCTTGTATGGTGTTAATTTGGTGTTAAAATGATCATGAAATTTTGAACAGTTTATTAACCTTCCCAGTTGATTTGAATAAATATGGGTCAACTAAATTAATATAATTAAATTAACCATTCCTTTTTTTCTGTGTAAACCTTTGTCACTTGTTCAAATATCTATTTAATTTTTTTTTAATTATGAGGGTGGAAGTTTTGGCGCCCACAAAAGCAATTTAATTAATTTAAGGATATTTTTGCCCTGTCATTATAAAGCAGGATTTTAAGACAAAGTTATCCTGCAATTAGGACTATTCTTTATACCAGATTAAAGCGCTTTAATTAGGGAGGTTTAAGCAGTACATCGCGTGAAAAGAGGCAAGTTGCTTTTATACTTAATACATAAATAGGGATAGGTACCAACTTGCAAAAACAATATTTACTTTGTCAATTTATTACATTTGATTTAAAAAACAGACAATTTTTAACTGATTTTATAGCAATTTTTTAGCTGATTTTATAACTAATTTTTCAATAAGTTTGTTCCATATTTTTTTCGGTCAATGTATATAGGGAAGCTGCAAATCATTTTCGTTCCTGCTCCCCATTAAAATGGGCTTTACTTCATTACACCGTTTATCTCTATTGTGTATGGGTCATAATCTCTTTTAAGAAGAGATATATGAGCCCATCAAAAATGCCCCAGACGCTATTTGAGCTTATCTGCTTTTTTTCATTCTCCGCCAGAAGAAATTCTCTTGTGGAATAAAACTCTTCACACCTATATTTTAGGATCAATGTTAGTTGAAATCGAAATGTAAAATTCCAAACAATAAGGCTTCTGTTTTTAATTAAATCTTGTATGTATCTTTTATGTATCATAATGGGCAATTTGTCAAACGAATAAAGCTGACTCCGGCAAACGGCAAAAAGACCCGGATCAAAAAATAAATTAACAGAAATAAGACATTAATCAATTGCAGGTTAGGTTTTCGCCAGTTAAGCAAAAAATCCTACTAACCGACAGAAATCCCAAGGGGTCCACTTGAATTTCATTTTAACATTCATAAACTTGTTTTGTTGGAATAAAACATTTTATAGGAAATCATAGTTGGATATACATATATATATGCATCTCTAGAACAAAGCCTTGTTTCAACTTTCATTGTATTGAAGGTATTGCTTCAGTATATTTTCATTTGTATGTAAATGTATCCATTCAAACCATGTTTCTTTTAAATGAGATGTTTGCTCAAACAAAGGCAAATATATTTAGTCTATTACTGTTTAGAATATTTCAATGTTTCCCCCAAGCATGCTTATAAATCTTAAAGACAAGAGATTCAATAATTATTTTATTTTCATTATAAACCCTTTATAAGTCGTTAAAACATGATACTCAATCAAGATAAAATTTCTCTTTTCAAAATAAATATTGCCCTTGAACTTTAATCCTTTAATCCTCCTAACTCAATCATTCATCAACTTTTTGCTGCATAATAAAAAAGTCTAGACGACTCGCCGTTATACATTTTATTATTCCCTTTTGAAGGTTGTATTTTATAACCATATTTTGTTATTAGATAATAAATTTTATTAAAAACAAGAGGTCCTTGTAAGTTGGCCCACTTAATCATAACACCGAGCGCGGCAATATCTCGGCTCCATTTATCTTTATAAACTTGAAGCCGGTTCGTTTTTGCGCTCCGCAACTTGCAATAAAGTCTATCACTTATGTACACCAAATAAACTTAACCGAGTTATTGTTTACCAGGGACTTTCCGATGTTTACGGTTTGCTAAAACTTTTTGCGCTCGATTTAACTCGACATACTATCTAAGCTTATAAACCGGCAGGGTGTTATGGAGTTTTGACTTTAGGCAACGCAGATTACACGTGATCACGTCGATCCGCCATTCTCATTCCCAATTAAATTCTTTGCAGCTGATTTTCGACGAATTCAAACTTGGGCGCTACGAAGCTTCAGCTTTGGATGGTTGTCCCGACGGTTACATGCAGCTGAGCGAGTTGGGCAGGCCTTTTACCGGCGGTTCGTGGTGCGGTTCTTCGTCTGGGCCCGCAGCCTACTACAGCGAGACATCGACAGTTACAGCTTCAGTGAAATTGTTCGCTTCCCCGCAAAGGCCGTTCGCGTTCAGGCTGCGTTACAGATTCGTATCTAGACGCGAAGCTGTCGTGAGATTCGGCTCTCCAGCGGCGCCTTTGGAACGAGGACAGGTCGCCCCAGGTATTTAGCGAAATTTAAAACCGTTGCGTGTTTTGTAATGTGATATTTCAGGTACATACTGCACCCGTCAGTTCGAAGAGTGCTACAGGAAGCCTTGCCGATTACAATCGCCGAATTACCCTGGGATGTACCCGAGGAACGTTTCGTGCTATTGGAGCCTTCGTCAGAAGTTTGTGCCCACGTGTAAGCACGCCATGATAGCTGTAAGACAAGAAGCTGCCCACAAGATGCATATGAAGAGGAGCATCAATGTGGCAGGTTTAAATAAGACAGCTAGAGCTCTAAGAGCGTGGCGGGATTGCACCGGGGAACGAGATCATTTGATATTCTACGATGGAGGTAAAAATATTTAACCTAACACATCTGTTTTCTTTAACAACTTATTCTAGGTTCTACAAACGATCCGGTCCTCGCTAAGTACTGCGGTGGGGATTGGTTACCAAGAGTGGTATCTAGAGGACCCGAAATGTTGGTTGCGTTTCACTCATCGCCGTTCAGCATTCCTCTGCACTCGCCGCCGTCTCAGTCACCTTTACGCGGTTTCGAGCTGGACGTGGACGTTATTTTCGCTGACAGCGACTCTCTGGACTACTCCAGGGAAAGTTTGAGATGCGAGTTCGACGTCAACGCCACAAGTCCCGATAGCGACGAAATATGGACCGGACGAGGCCGGAAAGACAGGTTGATAAGCCCGAGACACTCCCTACCGCCCAACACCACTTGCAGCTACAAATTCAAAGGATACCCCCAGGATTTAATATGGGTGAGTTTCGTATCCTACAGCCAGAGAGCGCTGCTGGTGGGTGAGAGTGCTCAAGCCCTGCTCAGCAACAGTTCGGTTGGAGGTGGTTGCGCGACAAAGTTAAAAATCTTCGACGGAGTCAAACTCATCGATGAGAAATGCGACGAACCTCCGAAACTCTGCGACCACAGCGCTCTAATAAACTCCACACGAATAACGCGACCCTGCACTCTAAGCGAAAGTTATCTCTCCACTGGAAGAACGCTACTGATCCAGCACCACACTGAAGACGGTACAGCCCTACATCCGGCTTCGTTCAAGCTCAAATATGAATTTGTGGATACGCGACTGGGCGGTGAAGCATGGGCGGATAAAAAACAACCTGGGTGCTTCAGGGTGTTCAAAAAAATGCACGTCGGGGAAGTGTCGTCGCCGAGGAACGTCTTCCTATACGGCCGAGGGGGCGCCAAAGAGTTGCACTGCGTGTATCGATTCGAAGCTGGTGTCGATGAGAGAGTGAAGCTGACGATAAACAACGCTTCGTTCGGTGCGAATCCGAACTGCGATACCATGCAGGACCCACACAGCAACAGGCAAATATGCGAGTACTATCCGGGCGGTAGAGTGGCCGAAGTGAACGTCTACGAGTTGCCTTGGAAGGACGTGAGGATGCCGCGAGGATGCATATGCGACAACTCCTCCTTGAACAGCCGCCCTGTGGTGTTTATATCTTCATCGAGGACTTTGGAGTTGCATTTCACGGCCAAAGAGATGAACATCACCGAGGATTTCACCGTGTTACACTTTCGGGCTTTGTTCGAAATCATACACACGCCGGAGTGTTCGAGGAAGCAACGTATAAGAGGCTACGGGGGCGAGGTGACGTTCAACAACCCACCCAGCGGCAGAGAAGAGATGCTGTGCCAAGGTATACCGTGGATCGTCGAGGCGCGCTACAACAGAAGTTTGTTCCTGCTGAGTTGGGGGGCTTTTCTGCCGCTGAAACCGCGATCCGAAGAGCCGACGAGATGCCCGACGAGCAACAGAGTGCTGATATACCAAGGCAGGCCGCCCAAGCTGGTGAAGGTGGTGTGTCCCGCGGAGCCCAACGCCAGACCTCTGGCGGTGCACGTCTTCAGCGAGGAGTGGTGGGGCGAGGGTTTGTCGCAGATCCACCAGAGACCGCCGAGCTTCCTGGTGGAGTGGATCGGCGTGGAGCCGGGCATAGCCGCGTTCAACTGGCTGGAGATCTCGCGCAGCAGGTCTTCCCTGCTGCAGCAACTGCAAGTTCCTGTCAACGCCAGCGCCAACGAGACTGACTACGAGTGTTCTCACAAGTGCCCGGAGCTGGACGCGTGCATAAGCTCCTCGCTGTGGTGCGACGGTAAAGACCACTGTCCCTCGGGATGGGACGAAGCCGAAGGGCAATGCGGCGCGACATCGAAGCTGTTGAACTCCCTGCCGCTCGCAGCTCTGGCAGCCGGTGCGGCCGTCGTTTCTTCCATAATCCTCCTGATATGCCTCGCGTTGCACAGGCTGAGGATACGGCGTCGGCGGAGGCTGGCGAAAAAAAAGCTCCTCACGGGTCCGAGACTCGTCGACCCGGGGTACAACTCCTGACAAAAGCCGCCTGTAGAGTACATTCACGTGGACCGTGAAACGACCGTATGAGACCGGCTTAAAGCCGGTAAATCCGTCCCGATGCTCACTTTTTATCTGCCTGTGCCTTTAAACGATCTTCATAGGGTTCAGACTACCACTTCTTGTACTCACGAGTTCTCTGATCCGAGTTTGGTTTAGCCACTTCCGTTTTTAACCTCTTGATGGGATCTGTCAGAAGATAAATTTCTTGAGTAAAACTATTAACCACCTGTTGTAAATTTAAGACACTGCCAAAGAATTTATAGGTATAAACTTCTTACCTATTATTATTGTGATATTGATTACTCCCATACAGTGACAAGTTTTAATTATTAGTGCGTTTTTAATCGAGTGATTAAACAAGTACTCTTCCATAATTTCAAACCTCATAAACCGTTTTAGTATCGTGATCTAATTCAACCGCATAAGTAATCAAAAATAATGGGGATAAATCATTATTAACTGTTATTTTGGCGAAATGTTTTAAACAAATATCCATCATTTAAAATTTAAATGACTTGTTTTCATATGAACACACAACGGAAAAAAGTACACACTGCCCATTTACAAAACAACAAATAGTGACAAATTAATATACGACAAGGCTAAATCAGCAATCGAGTTGGTCATTTTTATTTTATTCTAAATAAAATTTTATATGCACATGCAAAATAATCAATCCCATGATAATTGAATACGTCAATGCAGAAACTGAATATGTCCTACCTATCTAGTTTTGAGATAAATAAGAAAAACTGAACAGAAAGTGGACATATGTTCTGGACATATTCAGTTTCTCTACTATATTAACGCCTTTGTATATTCTAGATTACCGTGACATGTGAAATTTCTACGCCATTCGATCGGGCTCCCTTTACTTATAGTAAATCCATGTTTAACTCAATAGCCCTAAAAAGTGGACATATTCAGTTTCTGCATTGACCTATTCAATTGTGTATAGGGGATTACCCGAAAATACGTTGTTTTTGACCACACCACCCGATATCTCCTTAAGGGTTTGTTATACGGTAAAATGAATTTAACATTTTTGTGGAAAACTTTGTAAACCACAATTTTTGTAAATAACATTTTGGCATCGAACCAATAGCAAGCAAGATACAAGCAAAAAACTGATTATATAGTAGAGGATCCCAAGTAAGGTCGACCTTCACCCATCTGCTTACCAGATGAAAATTATATTTTATCAAATAAAATATGTTTCTGAACATAAACCAATAGGGTTGCCATAAAAAATATGATCAAGGCTAGCTATAATAAATAAAAAATTAAAAAAAAATAATTAATTTTTTAAATTTCACCGACTTGCTTGCCAAATGAACGAAATTCCAATGGAAAGCATACAACATACAGAATATGTAACAGCTAGGTTGCCTACCTTTTTCTGGTCCCTATTACCTGGTTGCTTTGTACAGGGTGATCCCCTATAATGTCGCCCCCCTTTAACTTTTTTATTTTAAGTGTCCCAAAAAATTTAAAAGTGTGGTTATGTAGGTACTAAAAAATACTTTTTTTCTACGTATAAAGACAATTGGAAAATTGATCAGTATACAGGGAAAAACAAAAAGTTTATTTTTTTTCAATGGATCACCGTATATATGAATTTATTTTTCGATTCCTTGTAAAATTCTGAGCATAATTTATATAACAAACCATATACCTAAATTCAACCGTTTCTGAAATATTCGCATTCGAAATGTCATCATTAAATGTTTTTTTAAACTGTTAGAAATCAAGAAGCCTCAGTATACCAAAATTTTTATTGAAAATAAATTACTATAGTGACATTATGTCAATAAGTGTTGTTAAATAAGTAAAAATGGCGTACTCAGACAGAGAAAAACAAACTAGGTATTTCAACTTATTATCTTAAAAATAATTTAAATATTTCAGAAACGGTTGAATTTAGGTATATGGTATGATATATGAAATATGCTTAGAATTTTACAAGGAATCGAAAAATAAATTCATATATAGGGTGATCCATTGAAAAAAATAAACTTTTTGTTTTCCCTGTATACTGATCAATTTTCCAATTTTCTTTATACGTAGAAAAAAAGTATTTTTTTAGTACCTACATAACCACACTTTTAAATTTTTTGGGACACTTAAAATAAAAAAGTTAAAGGGGGGCGACATTATAGGGGATCACCCTGTACAAAGCAACCAGGTAATAGGGACCAGAAAAAGGTAGGCAACCTAGCTGTTACATATTCTGTATGTTGTATGCTTTCCATTGGAATTTCGTTCATTTGGCAAGCAAGTCGGTGAAATTTAAAAAATTAATTATTTTTTTTTAATTTTTTATTTATTATAGCTAGCCTTGATCATATTTTTTATGGCAACCCTATTGGTTTATGTTCAGAAACATATTTTATTTGATAAAATATAATTTTCATCTGGTAAGCAGATGGGTGAAGGTCGACCTTACTTGGGATCTTAGACTAATACGACTGGAATTTGTTTTTAATGGATAAAATATATAAAAACTTACAATATGTAGTGTGTTTTACAAATTGCATTAGCTGGGAGGTCATAATCTAAAATTCATACAATTCTCGGGGAGATCCCGGGGCGGATAAAACGGTTATTATTGCATGTAAGCTTCATAACCGTAAAATATTTGTTAATTTCTAATTAGAGCACAGAGGTTATCTCGTTTCGCATACGTTTTCAGATTAAAACGACAAGCAGATTTAAAGATATTATCTTTATTCGAAAATTACGTTACTACGTTAATATTTATACAATTTTTTTACTTTTTATAGAAGATTATTTCTATAGAAAGCAATAAACCAATCAAAACACTGCACCTAGTGTGCCGTGGAAAATTCAGTGCTGTGATAGGTTTATAGCTTTATATAGAGATCATTTTCTATAGAAAGTAAGGTTTATAAAGTATATTAATATTATATTAATATTAATTCAATTGAATTTCAAAAAACGTATGTGCGATATAATAAATTGTAAACTAATTGACATTTGCTGAAAATTTCATTATCTAACCGCTAAATAAATATTATTTTAAACATCTTGTTAAATACACTACATAAAAGCAGTTAATTTATTTTTAATTTACTTCACCCTTTGAAAATCTTGAGAAATTTAAGTCGGAGCGATACTTCAACAATATCAAAGAAGATTCTTAGAAGGGGACAGGGACGTGCGGAATCCCTTTTATAAAAGATAAACTTTTGTTACTTACAGTTACAAAACTTATAAAACATTTACTTATTGTATATAAATACTTTTGTAGTACCTACCGCTTCCGTCTAGGGAAGAACAGTCACAGATAGGTAGATCGGAAAGTATAAAAATAAAACTGTATGGTCTAATAATAATAATAATAATAATAATAATGGCCAGGATACCCGTCTCTCACGCAAGTGGTCAGGGTTCGATTCCCGGAAATAAAATATTTTTTTAAATATTTTTTCTTGGAAAAAATCTTTTTATTGGCAAATTAATTGGGTTAAACTTAAAAATCTTGTTCTGTCACTGTCCTCCCTAGACTGAGTGTACCTATAGTTAAATTTATTTCATTGTTAAATTTGTACATAATAACTTATTTATATTTTATTTTATAGGTTCCTACCCAAAAATTGATAATGTAAATAAAGAAATAATATATTTACTGATATACTATTTCTTTAGTAAATTGTACATACAACTAGTAAAAATATAAAACAAAATCATCTAGAAAAAATATAAGCAATAACTGTATATAACAATAACACGGATCTTAAATACAGAAATTCAAATTTCTATTATTTAAAAATCTACATATGTAAATAATTTGTGTAAAATCGAGATGATTTTGTAAAAAAATGTGATTTACGCTAAAAACGTGTAATCCTAGTTATAACTATAGTTATGTTCATTAAGACTGCATTTAAATGTTAATATTTTTATTCAAAAACAAAAAAAATGTTAAAAGATTACTGCCATTACAAATTTTGTTTACCTTTTTTAGATTAAAATTACCTTTGTAAATATAACTATGATAATCATTTAGAAAAAGTTGTAAGTAGCTAGAAAACGCACTTTATATTGTAAGCAATCACTTAAATAAATTCAATATAAAATTATTTTGTACTTATTTTTACCCTCCTAAAATAAAAATTAATGTAGTTTCAAATATGACAATTTACATGTGGCGCCATCTATTACCCGGTGGGCGAAAGCGTCGTCAGATTTTAAAACAGCATTCTGTAAATTTGTTTTGTTACTTTCGCTGCAATAAGATAGATGGCGACAACTTTTTATTTTTTTAAGTTGCAAGCCTTTATTACAGTTGGTACGCATGAGTTTACTGGACGCTTTGAAATTTTTGACGTTGAATTTGTTTGCAGTACATGTAGTTATAATTAAATGTATGCCTAAGTATTATTGTTTTGATTCGAAAAAATGGGAAGAATAACAAGCAGGACAAATTCGTTCCTTGAAAGAACTCACGAGAGGACGCTGGAACTCGGTGAGAATGTTAAAATGTTTTGAAATTGATTTTTTATAAATGTTTTCACAGAAAATGAAGCATTAAAAGATAAAAACGCCACTTTAACAAAACAACACGCTCGAAGCCTCCAAGAAAATTTAACTTTGAAAAATAAATACCATATTTTAGAGGGAGAATATTACAAATTACTTTTTAAACTCAATGTAAGTATTTTTGTTGTTTGTTAGTTTATACCCACTTATAGGTACTTGAAATTTCTATAGATTGTAGAAAGCAATAAACCAATCAAAGCATAGCATTCTCCACAGCACACTAGGTGAGATTAATAATGCTACTATGTGATTGGTTTATTGCTTTCTATAGAGCTGGCTTAATTAAATTTGGTGTATTTATAGAATTTAAACAACAAAATAAAACAACATGATAGGCATATTAAAGATATGTTGCCAGAATGTATGAAAGTCTTTTTGGAAAACATTATTTCAGTGTCTTCTTTTGGTGTGCCAGGTGTGTACAAATATTTATTTAAATAAAGGTTATGTTGTAAAATAAATTTTTTAGAGCCTTACACACCAAGACCTACACAGTCAGTGCAACCATCAATTGTTAACGGCAATGTGGTGTCTCCAAAGAATCAAAACAGGCTGCAATCTGCACAATCGGTATGTTTTTATAATGTGGTATGGGTCGAGTTTAAAGTGTTTATTTTAGGAAGATATTGTTTCCACACATTCAAGTTTGACTAATACTCATGCTGGTAAGCTTAATTTGTTTAATATCTTTAATATATTAAATTGTTTGCTTATAGATGATGAAGAGGAAGAAGAGGAGGAGGAGGAGGAGGAGGAAAATAATGAAACAAATGTTAATTCTTATTCAAGAAATAAAACTAAAACTGCTGGTAAGCTTTATTTTAGTTTATTTTTAAAGTGAGGCACAATTTTAAAGATTCTTAATAGTTTTTTGTTTAATTTTGTTCTTGGACATATTTTACGCTTTTTAGAGCATTTTTAATTAAAATTAATTTTTCAGAATTTTTGTCTAAAATTTTTAAAAGAAAAATTTCACGATTTCACACATATGGCTTTTGTTGTTTTAAAGCATTTTTTTGCCAAAGTTCTTAGTATTTTAAGGAAAAAATCGCATTTTTAATTTCTATTAAATTTTTCCTCAAATAAATAATTTTTGAAAAAAATCTTGAAAACTAATAAAAATAAACTTAT